CTTCCAAATAGAAAATGTTAATATATGTGCGTGCAAAATAATAATTTTTTTTTTGCATAAATTTACAAATAAAATACCAATGTTTGATCAAAATAATAAAGAACCTTCATGTTATATATCAAATAAGGAAGTTGACTGTAGGCAAATTCTTAAGCAAGTAACCCTCTTGAAAGGATAATTTACAAAAAGTTTGTGTCCTAAGAATACATACACTCTTCAAAGCTATCCTCTGTACTGTGTTCTGTGAGAGTAGTTTTATGAAACATAAGCTAGATGATGTCTAAGATAGTAGTCTCCTAAGAAGGTTACATCACTAGACACTCCAATTGACGGCGGAGTGTACAAGATTCGAGCCTTATCAAGGGCGAAACCCTTAAGAATCGGCAACGGAATTCCCTTCTTTAACTGTGAGTTCAAGTACGGTATCAGGACGGTTTTGAGGACAGTTGATGTCAATGACTGCAAAAGTTTACAAAGTAAAAGAGTGAGATTCATATAAGTGCCTTGACTAACAAGTAACTAATAAATGTCATGTATTTCAAAGTCGAAATTACAATGATTTTTGTGAGAACATGTGAAAAGAGGAATGAATTTATTGCTACTTACCTGAATTACATTCATGTGAAGTTTCCCTATTTTGCTCCATTTTAAGTATGTGGAGAACTTCTTCAATTTAAGCCGGCCCGTGAGACTTTTTCGAATAATTTCCGCGTCACATGAAGCACTGATGTTCTACTTCAACAAGCAATATTAATGGAACATGTTAAGATAAGATACTGATCATGTTATCAAAATCTAAAAATTGTAACAAATTAATGGAAGATGTTATAAGATAGTTAGGTGTATATTAAGTTTGCTTAAACATACCACAGAGATGCATGTGACAGGTATGACTTCACCGGCTTCCAAAACATCAATGATTAAATCTATTGAAATGGTAGCGTCGATATCTTGGTCAGACACTTCTATAAACGGTGGAGAAGATATCGAGATATTAAGTTTCATGTCATCATTTGGATATTGTTTGTACAATTGAGGAATGATGAGTTTCCATTCAGCAGTGTTCAAAAGGGATTGATTAGGCAGTTCATCAAGTATCCATTGCAACGCATCTGCCTGAGACAAGAACAGCATAAACTATCAAAACTATACTCGAGTCTATAATGATTCAAATGTTTCTTCAGAATTCAGAAACTTACTGCAAAGTAAAATTCGGAGGCCGATTTGAAAACTTTTTCATGTATAGAAATGTTGATCATCTTTGGTAAATCACCATTGGAAACAGAAATATGATCAGATCCTTTATGGTAACTTTGAGGTACTAAAACACCCTTTCTCTCACTGAATAAACCGTTGATTTTGAGTTCGATAGAAGAGTTACTCAGCACAGGATTGTCGACGAAAGAAACATTTAGAGCAGCAGTTTTGTCTAATGAAATTGTCTTCGGAAGAGTTTGCAGTAAATCGTCAAGAGTCGGTATCCCTTCTTGTATTTTCTTGGAAACAGCATCTTCAACTGCAGATCCGATATTTCCTTTAAAAGCATCAACTAGCCTGCAGCAAAAAAACAAAACTCATAACATCTTCAATCATTAATCGATTACCTTTCTGTTTGTTTATCTATCAGTTTATTTGTCTATCAGTTTATTTGTCTGACTATCTATTAATTTATTTGTCTATCTGTTTATTTGTCTATCTATTTATTTATCTGTCTATCTGTATGTCTATCCATCTATCAGAACAATTCTCTAAAACAGGGCATGTTAATAGAGTTTCTATAAACTATCATAAACCATGTCGTCAAGAAAATATCTTACACTTGATAAAGCCAAGCAGCTCCACCGTTCATTTTTATCGATAACTCTCCAACATCACATCCATAATCTAAGAGATTCAGCTTTAAAGTTCCTCCTTGGTTCGTTAAATTTACGGTTAGTCCCACTTGCATATCTTCAACCTTCCCAACATAGCACAACACAACCAAGTAAGGAATATTATCTGTTGATCAAAGAGATAAAAGAAAACTACCTAAATTACTATTACATTAATCTCACCAATGAAGCACCAACACAAACCCGACACTGACACATCAACACCGATAAAAATTTGAAAAAATCAGTTAATTAAACCTATTCACGTGTGTCAGAACCCTAAATTCTTAACAATATAATAGATTGATATAACAATAGAATACCTTAACAGTGGCAGTTCCACTATCTGAAATTCCAATTGGGACCAACCAACTACTAACAGTATACCTCCAATTCAAGCTCAAATTAGCAGTAGCACCTGAAACAACAACAACAATACCAGTATCACCAGTTTCAACAAATGAAGAACTCACTTGAATATTCTTAATTGTGATCTCAGAAAGAATGACATGAGCTTTTCCAACAAGAGGAACTTGAACAGATTTCTCAATTTGTGGAAGCTGAGAAACAACTATAGATGCAATAGCTTGGTTTATTAGAATGTCTTTGACAAAGTCAAGACCCTTATCAGATATAATCACAGAGATGAAACCATCTTCAACAGAAACAGTGGCTGTTGAGATTAATAGAAAGGACAAGAAAAGGACAGATATTCTATGTGACATGATTTGTCTTTGTGATCAACAAAACATCAACATGAAACCTAGACGGTGGTGATGAGTTTTAATAATGTTTATGTTTATTTATCAGTGAAAGGTGAAATTAATATTGTTAGTGTTCTAATAACAACCATCTATGTGGTTGGTTTTGGCAAGTTCTTCAATGATTAATATTATACTTATATCAAATAGTGTTCAATTATTATTTAATATAAAATGTATAGTTGAATATGAGCGCGAGGCCCACGCGACTTGTTATTTATTTTACATTTCAATGTGTGTATATCCTTAATTACTCTAAAGCATTGAAAAAATATTCCCTTTTATATTTCTAATACTCACTCACTTAGTCTCATTAATCCATCAATTAATAACAGCAAAGATTAAATAGAATTACAAAATCAGAATGTTATAGCCCACATTTACTTTTGATTAATCACTTTGTAAAAATTGTTGATAAGAGCAAGTTGATAGTGGCAATTAAATAGGTTTTTTTTTATAAGCTCATCATCTCTACAATCAAAGAGGATATGCAAATAAAGTTAAATATGTACCATCGTTATGGGATAAAAGTTTGTGGATAGAGAATAATCTCTATTAACAAACTCATCCTCCTAAAAATTTTTAAGCACAATTTAATAAAGAGTTTAATTGATATGCAACATCAATACTCCTATATCATAACTATTCAATTGTGTTATTTTAAAAGAATTTAAAATAAAAGTCAAATATTTTTAAGTAATTAATAGTTGTGATTAATTAATAATATAAAAAAATTTTACACCGATGTGTTTTAATTAAAAAATTAATTATTATACACTGTTAGTATAAAATATTTTATACAATTAATTTATTACAATCATTTAAAAATATATTTTATATGTTATTGACAATTATGATTTTCTTATTAGTGTATTTTAATTAAATTCTTTAATAAAATATATGTCAAATATATATTATTGGATTGAGTTTGATGTTTTCCACATTTGTCTGTTGTAAATTGGTTATGTAAGTCACAACTTCATCAAAATGTGTTTACGAGAAGCTTAGGTGGTGCAAGGTTGAAATTCACCTCTTTCAAACATGGAGTTCATATTTGTATTATCCAATTTTGATTTATATAAAAATTGATCAACTACTTGATTTATGACGATGGAATTTTTATTTATCAAATAAAATTTAAATTCAAAAAGAAAAAGGGGAAAATGTGTGCAGGAAATTATGTACAATGTCAAACAATTTTTAGACCATCTACCTCAATATTAAATTACTACTTAATTTTTTGTTTAACTAGGTAGAACAAAAATAATAATGTTAAGGAACATGTTAACATATGCTTAATAAGATAGTACTATGTATAAATTTTGTTTTGATATACTTGTATGGACATTTTTAAAATTTTAAAATTGGATTTTTTTTTCAACGCATATTTTTTATTTTAGAATTTTTAACATGTGTTTTTAAGATCCAAGTTAGCATGATCCTTAAAATAAATAACTTGTTGAAATATAATATAGTGATAAAGTTATTTGTATGATCTACTTAATCCACTTTTTTGAAGTGTAGCACTGAAAGAACTGAGTGATTATTAATTGCAACATTAAGAAATTATAGTTATACCTTATGTGAAAATCACTTAAGCACCCAAATAGAATATCCATTATGAAATGTTGAGTGCCTGTTTGAAAGCTAAAACATACTCGGATACTTTTATTTTCAATTTAATTTAAGTTATAATTATTTTGTAATTAAGAATTAATTATTAGATTATCACTTAGCACAAGAAGAAAAAAAAGGAATGAACAATTAAGGTTCTGTGTGAGCCTCCAACAAGCATTCCAGGTGATTTTGAGAAGCAGCAGAAAGTTGCATGCATTTGTATGCATCAAGATTCTCTGTTGAAAAGTGAACCTCTGGATTCAGGAGAGGCATGATTCCAATACCAACCAAAAAGTGCAAATTTTCAGCAATAATACAATATATACTCGCAAGCTACATAAATTGAATAACAAACTTCTATAACCCAAACAAATAACAAAACTTGAATAGTGGGTTTTTTCCTCCACAGGATTATATGGACTCCCAATATTCCCTGATCCAATCCAACTCTTCCTAATCAAGTTCTCATATATGCAAATGTCCTTTTCTTTCTAAACAAACCCTCTGTCCATCACATCTTCTGAGTGAACAAAGGTAAGAATAACATATTTCCAAATCAATCATACTAATTCACAACACTGCTACAATAATAATGATGCATGAAGCAAGCAGACGCACAAGCATGTATGACAAACTCCTGCCTCCAGAATTGACAATTTCCCTTCGTTGATTCTTCCTGTTACAGACATCTCCTTGATTCAAATCTCACCTTCAATTCGTGTATTTAGATGTAGAAACAAAGAAAACTGCTTTATAGGAAGTAATCTGGTGCTGGTTTCTTGGCAGGTGCACCTCTTGAGTCCTGTGATTCATTAAACGAAAATCGATATCAACCAATGAACAAATTAATTTTTGCATTGATGGCATAGAACACGAACCATCAATTGTTTGCTCAAAAATGTATAGAGAGTACATTCAAATGAAAAGTCCCTCGGATTTAAAAATTGCAACCATGATGCATAAGAAGCGCATTCTTTATGACATGAATCAACAGATTAGACGCTTGAATTGCTGCTTTTTTAGGAAACAATAATCCATATAGCCTATCTATGCACAAAGTTTATAACAATAATAATCAAAATCAAGTGATTTTGCCAACAAACCTGAGGGGCAGCCTCAAACACACGAAACTGCTTATTAAGATTACCGTCTAATTCCAAAATTGCAGCTACATTACCACATCTGTAACAAAGACAGAAATTTCTTATTAAATACACCACAATACAAATAACGATAACAGACATTTGAATTGACTATGTACCTGTAGCAATAATTTGGAGCTGACCAGACAGTAACTATCTGGTTATTGAACATCCATTTATAACCTTCCATTACCAACTGATGAGCTCGGCAAATATAGTCAATGTTATTGGTGTGGTTAAAAGAAGAGACAACGCTACCGCCAAACAAGAAACCAGCACCACGGGGACTCAGACCCCATCCATCTACAATATCTTCAGGATCTGACCATAGGAGGTCACACATGGCACCATCATGAGGTACCTCTTGCTTTCTATCAATAGTTCGTATCTGGATATGAATAGTAAATAATTTGTATAATGTTGCCTTTAAACAATCTAAGACTAAATCTTTAGACACATAAATTGGGGTAGAACTTCTAACCTGATCCAAAGTTGTAATGGCAGGAGAGAGGCCACCATGAACACTGAAAATCTTGTTTTCAATTAGAGCAGACAAGCTACAGTTTATCGTTATAAATGAAAGTCATTAGCAGAAACACTCGTTAAAACAAATAAGTTTGTAAATGAAGCTAATTTTATTAAGTTATTAAGAAAATTAGCAGCTACATACATACAATGTTCCATTAAAACCCTAATTTCTTTATGGGTTATTTCTATAAATAAGAAATGCTAGCAAAACATGAAAATACCAATCTCTTCTACATCCTCACTACACTGTGTGACCATCCATGTGGCCTCGCAGGCCCAGACTTTCCTTGATAGGAGCCTCGTGCACTGGGCTGCCCATGTATGTTTTTGTGGATGGCATAAAGCAGATTGAGACATAAATATAAACATGTCTTTATTTAAGTGTTGCAGTAGGTTGTTAATCTCGCCGGACCCCTAAAATGCTATATTGGGATGACCGCCATTGTGAAGACTAAAAAAACAATGTACCCGGTAAATATAAATTCCAACAGCATATATAAATACTTAAGCAAAGAAGTTCCAACAACATACATAAATTCCGACAGCATACATATCCCACCAAAATGAGTTCCCATCAAAATAAAATTATAAAAGTATTCAAAATGACTAAACCAATATCAAGATTTTCCACTGCCAACCAATATCAAGACTGTCACTAATAGCTCTGAAATAAACTTTGTTGCTGGAAGTTGGTGTTACATCTGCAGAGGCAGAGGATAGCGATGCCATGATTGTTATTAAAAGAGAAACAGAGCAACAGAACAGAACAGATGAATGTAGGGGGGAACTGTGGAAAACATGAATGTAGGGGAGGATGGATGTGAACGGCTGCGAATGGATGAAAACAGCGACAAAACAGATGAAAGAGGCGGAGAACGGCAAAGAACAATGATGATTTGCAAAAGGAGGTGAAAAAGGAAGAGGAAAACGAAAAAACACGGTGGAACTGAATGAAGCCAACACATGACCTTGAATATTAGGTCAAAAAGGTCAAAAATACCAACATACCCTTAAGAGTATTTGGATTTAGGAAATTGTCCCTAATTTAAGAATAGCGGCCAGCAAACTGATACGGCAGTGCTATTGTGCCGCTACCACACCGCCATTCGCGGCCGCTATTACCGCTATTGTCGATAGTGCTTCGCAGGCCTATAGTATCTCGGTGAGGTGACGTTCGGTCACGCTATGCCGCTATAGAGGTGATATAGTGCACTATTGACAACCTAGGTCTTGCATATGAGAGCTACCCCTTCATAAGACTTACATGCTTTACTTGCTATAAAACACACCTGGGCGACTGGGCTGCCCAGTGCACAAGGCTCCTGCCAAGTGGAGTTTGGGCCTGGGGATGGTAAATGTGTGCAGCCTCACTCTCGCAAAAGGAAAGCCTTTCTAGGATTTAAACATGTGACCTCCAAGTCATAAGGAAACAACCTCACAATTGTGCCAAAACTCTCTCCACAGAAACACATGTACAAAAGATTTTTTGACATCTATTAGATAGCAGCAAACCTTAAGTAATCGAATATGTCAGTGCAATATCTCCAAACATTTACTGAACCATATTTCCGAAGGCATTCGTCATAGAAACCGTATACCTGTCAAGAGATGGATAATGAATAAGTATTTCGAAGTAAAAAATTGTTGAGAAATATTTCAGTACCTTTTCCCTTTTACTTTTATTCATTATTCCACTTCAGCTAATAGACAAACCTGTGTGATCTGACGACTTTCATGGTTTCCCCTAATGAGTGTTATCCGATCTGGATACCTCACCTGATTATACGTCACTAATTAGTTACAAAATTAATAAACAGAACGAAAGAAAAAAAAGCGCAGATAACGGCTTGAAAGGAATGACTGGGCCAGAAACTGATAAATCTTTTTTTTAAGGGAGTTGACAAAACCCTTTTAACTTTTGTTTTTCATTTAAATAAATTATAAAAGAATAATGTAACAAGACAGCTAACTCAAAACTTTATGAAATCTTAACGATATGAAGAATTATTAAGAGATAAACAAATCCAAAAGAAGGAGAACCAGACATTCTTTCTAAAAATAATGAAAGTATAACAATATATAGAGAAAAAGCATAAGCTCAAAAGTGAACAGCAGCCCCTTGGCATTATAGATAAAGCAACAACGACAATAATAATTAAGCATTTCCTCAGGTGGTACGTGGACCAATAGACGCTGCAGAACCTCCTCGAGTAATAAGTTCATAATTACTTCATGTATCTCCAAGCATCTAAAATCTATGGTTGACCTATAGTTTTTCTTGAGCACCCTCTACCTCTTATTTAAGTGTTGTTAATTTCATATTGCGGAAAATAGTTGTTTGTTCGAATTTCACTACGCTACAGCATCATAGTGCCTCTAATTAACAACTTTTTGTAATAAACTAACTTGCATATCACAAAACAACAGTGTTGTGTTCAAATTCCACTATGCAATAACACTATACTGCCACTGACAACATTGTCTAGTAGCAATTGGGCTATCACCCCTCATTATAGACATAGGACTCCATAAAAAGCATGATCAGAAACCCAAAAAGTGGGTGCAAAATTCCTGAGAGTAGAAGAAATTGCTGACTGAAAAAAGGCAGCATAACATTCCATCCAAGTGCATCATCAACCAGCAAAAAGAACAAAATTTGAAAGCATCTCATTCTTGATTTCACCAACAAAACCTCAATACAAGATTACTAAAAGACCACCAATAAAGCCTCCTCCGGCAGATTTTCAAGTTTAGCCACTCATGCCATCCCACACAAAGACTTGTAGAATTTTATTCCAATAATTAACAAATTTCCCCCCCAAAAAAGTATCAAGTTCACTGGAACACACTACATTATCCTATCACCAATCCCACAACCCAGAAATCATAAGAGCACATTTCTATTCTATGATAAACCAACCTTTGAGCAAACTGACTGAATCATTCTTGAAACTGTCATACAAAAACAACAAAACTATATAAGAGAAGAACAAAAGATTATCACCTTGAGAGCGAGCAAAAGCAGAAACGTTTCGACCGAATAAAATCCTCTATCAACAAAATCCCCAAGGAACAAATAGTTAGTCTTAGGGCAATCACCTCCCACTTTAAAAAGCTCTTTCATATCATAAAACTGTCCATGAATATCCCCACATATCTACAAACAACAAAAACACAACCACCAAAACAGTTATCAGTTCCACTGCAATAAGAAAATCACAAAACAATATTACAGTAAAAAAATTCAAAATTGAAACACTAACCCTAAAATCAACTACTGATTATCACAGTGTGCCCTAGAAAAATTCAAAATTGAAAGAGAAAAAGTGACTAACGGTGACAGGAGCGTCGACCCTTTGAACATTGCTTTCTTCGACGAGGATTTCAATGGCTTTGAGGCAGAGAGCTTTCACTTCAGATTCCTTCAGAGGTTCGCATCGTTTCAGCTGCTCAATTTGTCTGTCTAGGTCAGACATCTCTCTTCACTTTCTCTCTCTAGAAACAGTGATGATGATGATGATGATGACGATGATGATGATGATGACGATGATGATGATGATGATTCAGTCACTGCCTCAGAGCTTCTTCCACTGCTTCTTCTTGTTCAGTTTTCGTTTTCTCAGTTTTTGTTCTTCTGTTTTGCAAAATACATACCCTTTTATTTTTATCTATTTCTTATTTAATTGCTTGGTTTTAGTTATATTTTTATATTGGGAAATATTTATTTATGGTCATAGAATAAAGATAATGGAAGCCTGATTTTGATTTCAAAAGTGATAGGTTGAGAACTCGACATGTTTGGGTCAAATTAACATAGTTATCTCTAGCTCTTTATAGTGTGAAAAGTTTGGGTAAGATAGGTAGTGCGATAGGGAAACCGTTCTTCATAGATGAATGTATAGTTAGCATGTTAAGGGTATTTTATGCAAGAATTTTAATAGAGATTGATATCACACAAAAGTCAAAGGAGAGCATTACAATAAAAAATAATGAAGGAAAGCGATTTGGTCAATCAGTTGAATATGAATGAAAATCAAAGTACTGTGATCAATTTTAAAAGGTTGGACATCAGTGCAATATGAATGAGAAACAACAAATAACCAAGTAGCCGTGTGTGAAACCTCCTGAAGAACCAGGGAAACAAACTTTAAATGTAGCTACAACATCCACTGCAGCAGAGGATCAAGAGAACACTAATTAGAAGTTGGTCAAAAATAATGGGAGAAGCAAAGGAAAAAGTGTGATAGCTGAGAATACCCCAAAGAAACTTAATGAAATCACTTGTCAAAATGAATTTGAATCATTAAGGATTTGGGGTGATCCTTTAGTGACCATTGACAAGGAAGCATGATCATATCGTGGAACGCGAGGGGGCTGAATAATCCAGGTAAGTGTAGAGAGATGGGCTCGTCTCAATAACATAAAACCTAAGGTGGCAATAATGGTAGAAACAAGAGTAAAACAACATAAAGTTGAAGCTATTAGAAAGAAGTTAAGTCAAAAACGGACATTCTTAGGTAATTACTCAAAACACAAAAATGAAAGAATTTGGGTGATATGAGATTCTAATAGAGTAAAGATCAATTATGGCATTTACTCTCTGAATGGGGATTTAAAGGCATGATGCACTACAATATATGCTTTCAATACTCTAGAGTAAAGAAAGAACCTCTGGAAGGATATAGAAAAACTACATCAACAAGTTAAAGGACCCTGATTTTTTATGGGAGACTACAACAATGTTCTCAAGGCCCATGATAGAATTGGAGGTAACCCAGTTCAAGAAGCATAATTCATTGACCTTATCCAAATAATGGAGAGAACTGAGCTAGATAAGAAGGATGATAGTGGTGAGTATGGATGCATTTCTCTTTTAGATGTTTTGTATGATATCAAAACTGAGAATTAATTTATTTTTTTGTATATTGAACGGTATCTCTGAGTATTTGTGTGCACCCTTGCATTAGAAGTAATTAGAAGTAATTAGGAACCTTAAGAAGCATATAGAACAAGTTTGGTTGGGTTATCCATTAGTCTCATAAAAGAAACATCATTTTTGCACAAAATTCATGTGCATATGTCGACACATTTGTGATTCATGTCGGCACATGTGTTGTTGTTTTTAAGCAAATAACTCTCTGGAAGTTTGTATCGACTCATCCTATTATTCATTTTTGAAACATTTCTTTAAATTACTCTATGTGTCGACATATTCATGCTTCGTATCGACTCATGTGATGCTGTTTTTAAGCTTGAAAATCTCTGCAAGTTTGTGTCGACTCATGGCCTGTTACAAGTCGACACGTGTGCATGTTTTTGTCACGTATGTGTCGATACATCACTTGTACGTGTTGACACATCTTGTAACAAACTTCAAAAATTAATTTTCTTTTGTGTTTCTGGGTCTTTCTTTTGCCTCCAAGTCTCACACCTATATAAACACTTACATGATTGCTTTTCATCTTCAACCTTGACCCTATGCATACACACAAACAACATACATAATCATTCATTGTTTGGTTTCCATATAGATTCGGTTGATAACGTTCAATTTAGGTTGGTTGTAACCTCAGATTGGGTTGAGAATCAAGGGGGTTTCATCCAGAAAAACCGCGAGAATTTTTACCTCAAGATCGTGTGAAGATTTAAGGTTTTTAACAAGATTGTGTCGATATTGGATTCGACCTGTAACACCCCGATTTAATTAAAATTATTTTATTTAAAATAATTAGATGATGCGGTGTATTTTCATGAATTGATAGATTTTATGACGTGTTTGTTGGTGTTGAAATACTAGATGATGTGATGTCTTTGTTGAGGACTAGATGCCTTAGAATTAGAGATTAAGATGTTTGGGGTGTATGACTAAAAGCGTAAGAACATGAGGTAAATGGAAAATATGAGTATTATTGGAATTATTATTATTATTATAAATATAAAGTTATTTATAATATTAGTGATTAATTAATTATTTCAAATAAGGAAGGGTAAGATGGGGATTATGATTTAGGGGTCTAAAATTTAATATTGGGATGAGTAAGGAAATAGAGATCACAATTGTTATTCGATCGTAAAAACCAGAGAAGAGGGAGAAAGAGCGCTTTTGGAAGAAGAGGAGAAAAGGAAGAACCTAGGGCTAAAGGGAAGACTCCATTGGAGAAGGGAAGAGAACTCAAAACCTAAGGTAAGGGTGAGGTTCTAACACTATAATGGATTGTATGATGATGGGTTATGGTAGGGTTAGGTTATGTAATTGTATTTTCATCTTTATGTGGATTTGGTGTTTGGTGTGATTTGTATATATGATGGTTGATGATGATGAATTGGTGTGAAAACTTTTGATTTTGATGATGTAAAATAATCCTAAATGATGTTGATGAATCATGCAGAGTTGATAGAATAATTGTCTCTAATTCATGTTGAAAATTGGTAATTTTTGGTGTCTTTGGGAAGAGAATCGCAACCTGCAATTTGCAGAATTTTTGGAAAAACTCACAGGGTAACCGGTTACCACCTGGGGCAATCGATTATCGCGTGTAAAACTTGGTCCTGAGAAGGAAATTTATGAAGGTTGACCGGTTACCATAAGTGGGTAACCGGGTACCCAAAGCCTTGACAGAATGATGACTTTTGTGAAAATAGCAGTAACCGGTTACTGAGATAGGGTAACCAGTTACCGCATGCAATTTTTGATAAAACTGAGTCACTATTTTAGCAGTAATCAGTTACCACTGGAGGATAACTAGTTACCACTGAGACAGAATGGTCAATTTTCTGAAAAACTTTTAAAACTCATAACTTTTTACTCGGGTGTCTGTTTGGCGCGCCGTTCGAACCTATGAAAAGCTAAAAATATTTTCTACTCAATAAAAATTATTTGAAAATAGTATGAGATGATTCTATGGATTTTGTTTCATTCTGATGTTGTGTTGTGATTGTGAAGTTGCGAATGTGATGATGAATATGAAGAGATTTCATGATGTAGTGATGTGTAACGATGTATGAACAGTGATATGTGATTAATGAGTTGTATTGGCTTGGTTTGTTGATGTGTATGTGTGTTATGATTTTTGGTATTATTCTGGTATTGTGATGTAATTGTGAAGTTTTGAATATGATGATGGAATCGATGAGATTTCATGATGTGGCGGTGTGGCGATGTTGTATGAATAGCAATGTGTACTGGTGGATTGTGCTGGTTTGGTTGTAAATGTGTGTCAGTTTGTTGCATTTGTTGTCATAACATGTTAGTGTTGCATGCATATTTATAAGTGATGATGTAGCCTTAATGGCAAGGGACGGTGTAGCCTTAATGGCAAGTGACGATATAGCCTTAATGGCAAGTGACAGTGTAGCCTAAATAGTAAAGGGACATTGTTATGGTACCACATGCATATAATTAGGGAAGTTGGTCTCATTGAATTACGAAGTTATTTTTGAAAAGATGTCATATGTTGTTTGTTGGGTGTGATTTTTGAAATGATATTATGTATTTGGTGTTGATGCATAAAGTATGAAATTATGATCATGTATGCCATGATTTATCTATTCATTATCATACATTCGTTATATTATTATGATATCTCACCCCTTCTGTTTGAATGTTGCCTCTACGTGGATAACACGCAGGTGACAAAGATTAGATCGCTTGAGGTATGGAGTTGTGCCTCGTATTGCGTAGATTGAGTTGGGTCTTTCTCTGATACATAACACTGAAGATGAACACTCATTTTATTTAATTGATGTTTTCTTTGAAGATTTTTTAGAAGCTTTATAAACTCTCTTTTAATTGAGAATTGTTGGTCATATGACGAATCGATGATGTTGGAATTAAATTATGAATTCTTTTTCGTTGCGTTAATGAAGTTGAGATATTGAGAATTATGATGATGATGTTGTCGGTTCATCCTAAACGTGTGTTATGTGTCAAATTATTAAATATTGAGAAAATTGCATGATGATGAATGAAGTGACATCCTGTTTTATTGTGATGAAAATTTTTAATTTACTCTGACTTATTTAATTATGCGTTAGGGGGAAAACAATGTGTTACAATTGGTATCAGAGCAGGTCGGTCGGTCCGGCCAAGTTGTTTAATGTTGTTTGCTCCTTAGTACGCGACAAGTGTGTGAAACACTGTTGGCGCTTTCTTGATTTTTCTAACCACTTGTTTGTAGGAGTGGGATTGAGATAAGAGGGGGAGAAGCTTGTGCTTATGAGATGTTTCATGTATGAACAATTGGTTTAGTATGTCATGAAGTGCATGGGTGCAGACGTTAGTGATTCCATTTTGTTTTCCAATTTTGAAGGAAGTACAAAACAAATATGTATGCCTAGCGGTTGGGTCGAAGTGTTCTTAAGGGGGAATGATCGGGTGCTTGCGTTGTTCGCATCTCTAGGAATAGAGGGCGATGTTATTGAAATTCTGGTACAACAGACTCAGATGTCCTATAAGGATGTCAAGACATATGATCTG